CTCCCCACCCAGAGACCCCCTCAGAGCAGGTACCCCCCGCGGGCAGCACCTCCCCACCCAGAGACCCCCTCAGAGCAGGTACCCCCCGCGGGCAGCACCTCCCCACCCAGAGACCCCCTCAGAGCAGGTACCCCCCGCGGGCAGCGCCTCCCCACCCAGAGAGCCCCACGGGGCAGGGGCACGGCCCCATCAGCTAACCGTCAGTGGGGCTAGTAGATCCGCCTGTGTCAAGTGCCGCGTTCACTGGCGCAGATGGGTGTGCTCACCCCGCGCCAGACACAGAACCCCCAAGAGGGCAGTGAGGCGCAGAGAACCCAGGTGTCCTGCTCCGGGCGTAGGGCCGCCGGCTGACAGTGTTTGTGTTGCAGGTGCGGGCCATGGACGGTGAGCGGGCGCACTTTAGCCTGGCCAACCTGGCCAACACCCGCACGGTCAGCGAGGGCATCCGCTCCCTGAGCCACGCCGAGTTGGCCTTTTCCACATTCCACGCCCTGCCCCGCGACGTCTACTACTGGGTCCTGCCTGACCGCTTCAAGGGAGACAAGGTGCCCCCCCACTCCACCGTGCCCGTGGCTGACACGGCCTCCCTCATGGCAGGCTGGGCTGGCAGCATCACCAGGCCTCTGTGCCCCATAGTGCAGGGGAAGGGTGGTCACAGGGGGAGGGCGGGTGCTCCGGGGGTGATCAAAGGGATGGAGTGGGGGAGGCTATGGGTGGGGCCAAATGGTGGGAAGGGGGAGGCTGTGGGTGGTGGGGGCGGGGGACGCTGTGGGCAGGGCAGGGCGGAGGGATGGAGGAGGGTATAGGCAGGGGGCTGGGCGGTGGGGATGGGGGCAGGGAAGGCTGTGGGTGGGCCCGGGCCATGAGACCCGGGAGGTTGTGGGCAGGGCCGGGTGGTGGGACAGTGGAGGCTGTGGGGTCTGGGGGCTGGGTGGTGGGGTCGGGGCAGGCTGTGAACAGTGGGCTGGGCAGTGGGTGGGGGTGGCTGTGGGCGGGGCCAGGCAGTGGGAGCAGGGGAGGCTGTGGGCGGGGCTGGGCGGCCAGGCCATGTCCATCAGTCCGGCTGAGTGGCGCTGCCCCACGCAGGTGACGTCGTATGGCGGGGAGCTGCACTACACCGTTATGCACAGCGCGGCACCCGGTGCCCAGCCCCTGCCCAGCCAGCCCGACGTGCTTCTGCGTGGCAACGGCATCTTCCTGGAGCACTTCGCCGAGGCCGGCCCCCTGCCGGGGACCCCCACCCGCTTCACTGTCCCCTTCCGAGAGGTGAGAACACGGGTGGCCCCTGCAGAGCGCCCCCTGCAGGAGCTCAGCCCCTAGGGAGTGGGATGGACCCCAGCACCCCTCACCCATCAGCCCCTGCGGTGCCTGGGGGGCCCAAGGCTAACCCATGGTACCCTGCCAGGGTGCCCTCCCTCACTCCCCAGTGACCTCTGCCCGCTGACTGACCCATCGCCCCCGCGAGTGGGAGCGCGTATGCCTGCTGCTTGGGGACATGCCACACTATAAAGTACCCAGAATCCTCTGCTCTACCAGCAGCAGTGACTGCTAGAGCGCCCTGGGCTCCAACCTGCTGTA